AGAAGAAACGTGTTTTTAGAAAAAAGAAGAAAGAACAAGAAAACGTGATCGAGAGCAATTCGAAATGTGCAGGAGTCAGAATGAAGTCCGGATATTTTACCAGCGAGTAAAACAACAAACCGAAGGCTTTAGTGCAGGCACATCTTCCTGTAGAGAAGATGAAGAAGGAAACCTGGTGACAGATACAGACAGTGTGCTGAGGATCTGGAAGGAACATTTTGAAAAGCTCTTGGTAACAAATAGTGGCTGTGAAGAAGATACCTCAGAAGCAATTATAGATGACGGTATAGAATGTATACTATTCAAGACTGGCGGCTAGATGCTGGTCAAGAGCATGCACCAGCTGATTAGTACAATTTGGCAAGATAAATGAATGCCCAGTCATTGGAACCTCAGCATCCTGTGTCCCGTGCATAAAAAAGGAGACAAGACGACAAGATGTGCCAACTATAGCGGAATTAGTATTCTTCCCTTCACATACAATGTACTATCCCGCAAGCTATGTGAACGATTGAAGTCAGCGGTCAATGACATTATTGCACCATACCAATGCGGCTTCAGACCTGAAAAATCCACCATTGACCATATTTTCACTCTGCGCCAAATCCTGGAAAAGGCCCACTAAAAACACATCGACACATTCCACCTATTCGTCAACTATTAGCCGCATTCGACAGCCCTATCCGTTCAGAGGTGTTTAAAGCCATGTCTGCATTCGACATTCCTGTAAAATTAATACGGCTATGCAGGATAACTTTAACAGCAGCACTTAAAGTCGCAAAAGGACCTTTCAGAACATTTCAATACCGAACAGGGAATCGAACAAGGTGACAGTTTGTCGTGTGATCTTTTTAACATCCTGCTGGAAAAGGTCATAAGGTTGAATAGAAATGACACTCTGTACAACAAACCACACATGTTACTCGCCTACGCCGATGACTTCGACATAAGGGGTCGAACATTGCGAGCGGTAACAGCCACCTTTGAACAATTTGAGAAGGAGTCTGGCAGTAAATGGCGTGAAGACCAAGCTGATGGTATCAACGCGTAAGACATCCAGTAGACACGGACCAATTGTGGAACCTGAAAACTACAGCTTCGAGGTAGGGAACGATTTTATATACCTCGGTACCGCCATAAATAAAACTAATAACATCAGGAGGAGAATAGTGTTGGTCAACAGATGCTACTATGGTCTAAGTAAGCAGTTTAGAAACAAGACGTTGATACTACCCATGCTGTTATATGGATCTGAAGCATGGATACTTACGCAAGCAAATGAGGCAGCTCTTTTTGTACGTTTGCAAAATAACTTTCATAAAGAATCAGTTATGTTAATTACTAATAAAATTTGAAAAAAATATTTATTAATTCCATGTGTAAACTCATTCTTGGCCTACTGTATTCTTATATGTTTTAATATTATCTATTCTATTCCATAATTTTTCTGGTACATTTTTCTTTAAGAAAATATTTTCTTAACTCTACCAAAAATCCTATTGTTGTAATACTATTCCCCTTCCCTTAATATGATTTGGCAAGTCTGCGAAAATGTCTAATAAACAATGACTTGATGATTATAAAATAAACATTTTATAAAGGGACAATTGTGTCCCAAAGGACAATGCAGACAATTGTTTGAGTGTCTGCAAGAAAATATGAAAATTATTTCCACAAAATATTCTAAAATGGTAACAGAAATAGCAACAGTTCGTTTATTGCTTCGGTGTTCATCAAAATATAAAGTTTTAAAAATAATGTTCGTGAGATTTATTGCGATGGTTATAATTTTTGTAATAAAAAGTTCTTCGACTTTAAATTTATTGCAAAATTCAAGTGAAAAATATGACATTCCCGGATATTTTATAGAAAAATGGTTGACAGTACCATTACAAAATGTTAACTCTTTGGAGATAAAGCTAAGGGCGAGATACTTTCACGATGATATAGAAAATCCCTATATTCAATGGTTCATGAAACATTCACAGAAGCCATATATCCTTACAACATATGGAGGCGAAGAAGGATATTATAAAAATACAACAACCACTACAAATAGTCGAATTATTATTGGTAACATGGAACAATTGAACAAATCTATACATTATACCCAACGTAAAGGCACAAATTTCATTGTCATAAATGATAACTATGTGGATCTAAAGGAGTTGTTAAAAATTGCCTTTCTCTTGTGGAGTAAATCGAGAATTTTGAATGTATTTTATCTGACAAGGAATGGTGTTTACATTTATTCTGCATTTACATTAAATGCTAATGGATCTTATGGTGAAATTGTGTTATATAATGGCGTTCATCCATTGGATAATATTTTATTCGATAATATGCATGGTTATCCGTTGAGACTACAGATTTTTCAATCTGTCTATTCGAGACCTGTCCTAAATCCGCTAACTAATAAAGTCGACTATGTTCATGGTCTTGATGGGAGAGTGGCACATAACTTACATAGGCGTATGAATTTTACAATGAAATTTTTAGATCCAGATCCGAATTATTTTGGGTAAGTTTCTTGCATATCTTGCAGATTTATATTAGGAGTTATTGCCCAAAATTCATTTTGTATAATAAAGATTTGAAATTTGTTTCTTATCAATGTGTGCAGCGAATTCATTTATTTTATATATGGACTTTAACCTAATTTCCATGTCGATTTCGAAAATAAATTTTTATATATTTCAAGTGAATATAACAAAGGGGATAAAATCTCCCAACAATGTTGCAAATATTGGAATCTTTTCACTAATATTGGTAAGACTGCAATCTGATATCTTCGTATAATATATTGTATCCAGGTGCGCAAAAATTTGCCGCGAATGTTTCAAAATACATTCTTTTCGTTTTGTGCTCATTTTACGAATGAATTTATGGCGATAAATTCTTTACCATACGAGCATTCGTCAAAGAATGTTCGCACACATATAACAAACGAGTGAGAGCACAGAACAACGATCGTTCGTTTCGTTTGGTGGTTGAAATTCTTTCTGACATTCTCTGACGAATGAAAACAAACATTCCCGAATTCTCGCGAATGCTGAAAACAGCAACAACAAACGTTCGTGAACTCAATAGTTGCTGGACATGTGTTCTGCCACACACACATTCTTTCGTTGTTTGTGTGTGTTTACTTTTTTATGATATTTTTTTGTTTGTTGTTGTTTTTAACAGTGCTCGCGAGCATTCGCGAACATTTGTTTTTTGAGTTTTTCAGCAAAATTTTATCGTTCGTGAATTTTTCGTACAATGCGGACATTCTCTAGAGATTGCAAATGCTTGTTCGTTCATTGTAACTTTATCATTCGCGATAAATTGAAAAACATTCGAATTCTCGCTGTGAGCATTTGTGAGAAAGAGTGTATTTTAATCATTCTCCGCACCCTGATTCTATCGCAGAACTTGATATGGGATATGACGGGCTTCATAGCTGAACCATGAGGCGGCAGACTGGGAGTAAGAATCGATGAAATGACCGCCACTGAGGAAGTTCGACATAAGACTCAATACAGTTCTAGAGCGTGTCCAAGTCTGAACACCAGTTGAGTGAATGTAGAAAATTCGTAGCTATGACAGCAGCTGAAGAAATGATAATTGTCTGCTTCTACTTAGTTCAGAACCCTACTAAAATTCATCATAGGGCACTGCGCAAAAACTTTAGCCAGGGAGACACACAATGATTTGAAGAGAGTTTAAGCGGCATTTCTAAATAAATATGCCTAGGAATTAGAAGAACCATTGTGCTCACTGAAAAAAAATACAAGACCAAATCAAGTGTCAATTGGTGGCCGCTAGGAGAGTACAGAGTGTATGACAGCGAACGGCACCGGGAAGTCCTTAGAAGTTGAAGTAAAGCAAAGTTGGGAGAGGAGCTACATCACATATTTCAAATTCGCCGAAAGTAGCTCGAAATAAGAGAATTTCTTCGAAGCGTGAAAGAATGGTAAGCAGAAACTTGTTACGGAGTATGGAGCATAATGAAAGACGAAGACTGGGTCCAAAGATTATGGTGCCGAATGCTTTAATTTAAGTGAATAATAATTGTATAATTTATATCTCCAAGAGGAGGTTAATTGCTTGTGCAACAAAATTCGTTCAAAATTGACTTCGTTGGGCAGATATTTTTACTTTTTGGGCCGGTCGATTGACCACAAATTCCGTGTAAATAAATAAATGTCCCATTCAATTTTTATAGCGTGTTGAGGATGTGGAAGAATCATTTTGTAAAGGTTCTGTTATCAAATAGTGGCGGCGAAGTAGATACCCAAGATGACCAAGATGAGGTCAGAATAGCAATTAGTCGGCTGTAGAATAATAAAATAGCAGGTGCCTATGGATTACAAGTCGAACTACTAATGACCGGTGGTTAGACGCTTATCAGGAGCATGCACCAGGAGATTAGTACAATTTGTCAAGAGGAATGCATGCCCAATGATTGGAACCTCTGCATCCTGTGTCCCGGGCACAAAGAAGGTGTCAAGACGATATGTGCCAACTATAGAGGAATAAGTCTCCTTCCCATCACATATAATGCTGTGTGAACGACTGAAGCCAATGGTCAATGACATTATTGCACCATACCAATGCGGATTCAGGCCTGGCAATTCCACCACAGACCAGATTTTCACTTTGCCCCAAATCCTGAAAAAGACTTACGAAAAACACATCGACACATTCCACCATTATTCGTCAACTATAAATCCGCGTTCGACAGCCCTATCCGTTCAGAGGTGTTTAAAGCCATTTAAATTAATACGACAATGCAGGATAACATTAATTAGCACAAGATCAGCACTTAAAGTCGGAAAGAACCTTTCAGAGCCTTTAAATACCGAACGGGGATTCAGACAAGGTGACAGCCTCTTGTGTGACATTATTAACATCCTGCTGGTTATTTCGAGCTTCTACATTTGTAAATGTTTTTAAAATATCCATGTGTAAACTCATTCTTCACATACTGTATTTTAATGGTATTTTTTGTATATTCCAGAGAGCGTCTACCTAATGGATCATATAACGGCGCGATTGGTTCGATATTGGATCACTCTGTAGACATCTGTTTCACCGGCTTCTTTATAAAGGATTACCTGACACGTGATATCGAATTTTCTGTGGCCATGTATGGTGATCAATTGTGTATATATACACGTAAAGCGGAACGTGTACCCGACTACTTACTACCGCTATTTGCAATACAACTAAATGTGTGGATAAGTTTTATTGGTATTGGATTTTTGGCATCGATTGTTTGGATCTCACTACGAATTGCAACAATTTATTTAAACATATACAAATTGCAAGTTTTAAAAAGGGATTTACAACGTCCCCTCATTTGGCAATATTTGGCGATTTTAAAAGATTCCTGGGTCGTTTGGGTACGTCAATGTGTAAATTATTATCCCGCATTTGAATCGGAAAAAGTTTGGCTAATATCATTGTGTTCGGTTAGCATGGTATTTGGTGCGATAATTGAATCAAGTTTGGCTTCCAGTCACATTGAACCGCTGTACTATCAGGATATACAAACGCTAGCGGGACTTGATAAATCCGGGTTGGAAATACTCTATCGTCATCCCTCCATGAAAGACGATTTATTTGTGAGTGATGAAGAATCATCACAACTGTATGCTAGTCTGAATAATAAAACCCGCTATATGCCGAATCGTCAATATAACATATTGGAAGAAATTGCCAAATATGGACGGTCGGCAGGTGTCAACCGTTATAACAATTTAATGTTGGAGTCATTGGATCTGCTGGTAAAGAAACGTATATGGATAATACCCGAATTTCCTAAAAATTATGGTATCGCTTATGTTTGGTTGCGAGATGCCCCATGGGATAATGTTGTCAACGCATGGCTATTGAAATTTCAACAATCGGGTATTATATCGAAATTTGAACGTGATATGAAAATTGAATCGGAATTAGATGTAATGAGAAAACATTTATATGACTCGGTTATGGGATTTCGAATTTTAACAATACGCGATTTTCAATTGGCTTTTTATGTCTTAATTATTGGTAATATTTTTGCTTTCGTGTTGTGTTTTATGGAACGTTTGATATTTGTGCTGAAATGTAAATCGAGAAATTCTACGAAAATAAATCGAGATTTACAATATTTGAATTAAAGATGGTGCGGTTGTTTGTATTTTATAATTAGACTCATAAGTATTCATTAGGAAAACGATATTCAGTCAGGCTGAATAGGAGTTTTCATTAGGAAAACGATATTCAGCCAGGCTGAATAGGAGTTTTCATTAGGAAAACGATATTCAGCCAGGCTGAATAGGAGTTTTCATTAGGAAAACGATATTCAGCCAGGCTGAATAGAAATTTTCATTAGGAAAACGATATTCAGCCAGGTTGAATATAAGTTTTCATTAGGAAAACGATATTCAGCCAGGCTGAATAGAAGTTTTCATTAGGAAAACGATATTCAGCCAGGCTGAATAGGAGTTTTCATTAGGAAAACGATATTCAGCCAGGCTGAATAGGAGTTTTCACTAGGAAACCGATATTCAGCCAGGCTGAATAGGAATTTTCATTAGTAAAACGATTCAGTTTTCTTTAAGAAAACGATATTCAGCCTTGCTGAATAGAAGTTTTCATTAGGAAAACCATGTTCAGAAGTTTTCATGGGGAAAACGATATTCAGCTAGGCTGAATAGAAGTTTTCATTAGGAAAACGATATTCAGCCAGTTTTCATTGGGAAAAGTATATTCAACCAGGCTGAATAGAAGTTTTCATTAGGAAAACTATATTCATTTTTGTTGTCTATTCGGTTGAGAATTGCGACCAAAAATTGAAGATACCTTTAACATATATTCTATAATTCCCTAAAAATTTTTAAGACCATCGAGATTCTTAAGAGAAAGTCCGTTCACAAGTCTCCTCATAAAAGTTTTATATATATATGTGTCACGTATGAAATATTTAGTCTATTCCCAACGGAACTTCTTCAGATTTACTTGTCAGATTTGTGGTTATTGTCGTTCGAATTGTAAATAAAATAGTTACGACACTCTTTGTATTGCAGGTTCATGATAAGAGGGAGGGGGAACAGTAAAGTGTTTTGTTTATTAGGATGGTACCTGATTTTATGGGAGAGTTCAGGACTGTTTGTTTGATATCTTGTGCCAAGGATGAACCGATGAAACAATTGAGAACAGCAAACAGTTGTTAAGATTGCTTCTTTTGAAGCGATTGGCTCGCTTTTATACGTCGTAAGTACCCATGCTTCAGATCCATACACCAGCACGAGTAGTATAAGGGTCTTGCAGAGGGTTAGATTTTGGTCGAGAGGTGGACCAATTTTTAAATTGCTTACTTAGACCATAGTAGCATCTGTTGGCCAACACTGTTATTCTGCGGATTTCAAAGCTGATGTTATTAGTTTAGTTTATGGCGGTACTGAGGTATATAAAGTCGTAAAGTAGTTTCTAAGTTCCACAGTTGGTCCGAGTCTACTGGACGTCTTGCGCGTAGATACCATCAGCTTGGTCTGTTCTCTATTTACTGACAATCCCACTTTGGCAGACTCCTTCCTAATTCGTTCAAAGGTGGCAGTTAGAGCTCGGAATCCTCGACCCTGCCAATGCCATTTCTGTTCACATTTGCATCTCGTATGACCTTTTACAATAGGATGTTAAAAAGGTCACTCGACAAACCGTCACCTTGTCTGAATCCTCGTTCGGAATTGAAGGGTTCCAAGACGTCTTTTCCGACTTTAACTGCTGACCTTGTGCCAGTTAAAGTTATCCTGCATAGCCGAATTAATTTTGCAGGAATGCCAAACGCAGACATGGATTTATACACCTCTGAACGGAAAGGGCTGTCGAATTCGGCTTTATAATCGATGAATAGAAGGAATGTGTCGACGTGTTTTTCATTGGGCTTTTCCAGAATTTGACGCACAGTGAAAATCTGGTCGATGGTGGATTTGCCAGGTCAGAAGCCGCATTGACAATTGGCTTCTGTCGTTTACACAGCACGCTGGATACCACTCTATATGCAATGGGAAGGAGACTAATTCCTCTATAGTTGGCACATATCGTGGTTCTGACCTTATCATGGCTAGGTGGTATACACTCTATGTACACCGCCATCTCTTATTGGTTCTGGGATATCTACATCACCGCGACTCTTTCATACCAGAAGCTTTTCAAAATGCTCCCTTCCAGATCCTCAAAATTCTCTCGGGATCGGGATAATTCCATCGGGAGAAATAAAGTGAGTGTATATCGAGATGCTTTAATCTGGTGCTGCTGACTACCATGTTTTTAGCTGTCGCGAAGTCAATCAACATCATGTTGTCTGATGTTTCTTCATGGAGGCTGAATTTTCCGACGTTTGGGTCAAAAATGTTTCCCCTTTCCGATTTTTACATTAAAATCTCATTGCAAAATTTTAATGTCATGGTCCGGGCAGCAGTCATGTTGTTTCTAGGCGCTCGTAAAATATGTTTTTGCCCTGTTCATCTTTATCTTCGGTCGGAGCATGGGCGCAAATGAGACTGATGTAGAATAAGTTCGGATTATAGCAATTCGCTCATCTATTGGAGTGAATCTGGAGACTAGATCATTTATTCTACTGTTAACCATAAATCCCCAGCCAAATTCATGTCTCGTTTCATGACAGTGCGTAATCGTCGGATTTACCTACGCCTGTTCCTTTCCATTGCATTTCCTGTAAAGCAATGATATCGGCTTTGTACTTCCTGAGTACATTCGACAAAGCGAAAACCGCACCAGTTCTGTACAACGTGCGCACATCCCAAGTGCAGATTCGCAGATCCTGGTCCTTTTTACGCTCGCAGGGATTGTCAACATCAGGGAGGTTTTTTTGGGTTTCTTTTTCGTTGTTTTCACATAGAAGGAGAGGTTTTCCGATTGCGGGCAACTAACCCGACGACTCAACCCATTATTTTTGGGTGAACTCGCGGCACATATCAACTCACTATTTCAACGGGTGATAAAAGTGGCTACCCCGAGGAGGTCAGTGTCCACAATTGAGATGAATATTTAAGGTCCTAGCCACCTCAGGGAGAAGGGTATAAAAAGGTAGGCGACTCGGCCAAACTTAACAGAGTTTTATCTTATTTTCAATTTCATATTCCACTAGATATTATTCGGGACACCCTAATCTATGCACACCACGAGAACTGTAAACAAAGTCCTTCCTAATTATAACACCTGTCATAACATGTTCACAATTGAACAAATAAAACAAAACGATTACAAAGGTGTCAGGATAAACAGGGGTAGTTGCTATAAGTTTCAATTACAAAGGAATACAAATCACTACCCTGGTCTAAGGAGGTAACAACTTAAGCCTATCCAAAAAACGGATAATTGATTGTTATGATTTGGCAAAAAAAAAGCAAATAAAATACGGAAATTAGAACCCAGTCAGTGTGTGGGTAAATTCCCACAAAAGGGACTAGTAATTTGCCAATGCAAATTTCTGTAAGGACTATAAAAATCAAAGAAACCATTCGGAGTGACTTCAGTCACTTTCAAAGGTTTTAAATAAGGAAATGAATTTCCAACTTGTAGTAACATTCCTCATCGCCTTGCGGATACAAACAAGTAAATCCTTTAAGGGAATTTTGAAAGTTCCGCAAAAGGATAATAATCTCACATTGGAGGAAATAAATACCTGGCTAAAGAAACCCATAAATGAGATACCCTATTTGAATGTAATGTTACGAGCAGAGAATTATAAAAAGGACATGGATAACATTTACATACACTGGTATCTGACTCAGACACAAATAGCCTATGCATTAAATACCTACAGCCTAGAGGACCATCAAAAATCCCATCACCCTGAAATTGAAAAAACCTCGGAAAACTCTCACATCGACTATGTGATTGCGACCAATTTCAAGGATTTCCATCGAACATCCTTGTATTTTGCCCAACATGCTGGAATCTATTTCTTTATTATTTTGGATAAATACGATCTGAAGGAACTTCGTGAAGTTTCCCATATGTTATGGAGGAAATATCAAATCTATAAAAGTTTCCTGCTAACCAATGGCGGAATATTTATATACGATCCTTTTGCTTGGAATACTGATGTGGGAGATTATGGTACAATTATGCGATACAGGGGTGAACAATCTTTGGAACGTACTATATTTTATAATATGCGTGGTTATCCATTACGTGTTCAACTTTTTCGATCGGTCTATTCGAAACCAATGTTAGATCCTGAAACGCAGAAAGTCAGCCATGTCTATGGTGTGGATGGTAGAGTATCGGAAATATTACATGAGAAATTGAATTTTACAATGGATCTATTGGATCCCGATCCACATTATTTCGGGTATGTATTAACTACAACAATTTTTTTCATGAAAATTGATATTCCGCCACGCTGATCAGACATTTTCATAAGAAAATTCATATTCAGCCTGGCTGAATAGATATTTTCATTAGAAAATTAATATTCAGCCTGGCTAAATAGATATTTTCATTAGAAAATTAATATTCAGCCTGGCTGAAGAGATATTTTCATTAGAAAATTAATATTCAGCCTGGCTGAATAGATATTTCATGAGAAAATTCATATTCAGCCTGGCTGAATAGATATTTTCATTGGAAAATTCATATTCAGCCTGGCTAAATAGATATTTTCGTTGTAAAATACATATTCAGCCTGACTGAATAGATATTTTCTTTGGAAAATTCATATTCAGCTGAATAGATATTTTCATTGGAAAATTCATATTCAGCCTGGCTGAATAGATATTTTCATTGGAAAATTCATATTCAGCCTGGCTGAATAGATATTTTCATTGGAAAATTCATATTCAGCCTGGCTGAATAGATATTCTCATTGGAAAATTCATATTCAGCCTGGCTGAATAGATATTTTCATTGGAAAATTCATATTCAGCTTGGCTGAATAGATATTCTCATTGGAAAATTCATATTCAGCCTGGCTGAATAGATATTTTCATTGGAAAATTCATATTCAGCTTGGCTGAATAGATGTTTTCATTAAGAAAACTATATTCAGCCAGGCTGAATAGAAGTTTTAATTAGGAAAACTATATTCAGCCAGGCTATTCAGTTTTAATTAGGAAAACTATATTCAGCCAGGCTGAATAGATGTTTTCAATAGAAAAACTATATTCAGCCAGGCTGAATAGATGTTTTCATTAGAAAAACTATATTCAACCAGGCTGAATATATATTTTCATTAGAAAATTCATATTCAACCAGGCTGAATAGATGTTTTCGTTACAAAATTCATATTCATAGATACCTAATCTACCTAAACATATATTCAGCCAGGCTGTATAGATGTATTCAGGCTGAATAGATGTTTTCATTAGGAAAACTATATTCAGCCAGGCTGAATAGATGTTTTCATTAGGAAAACTATATTCAGCCAGGCTGAATAGATGTTTTCATTAGGAAAACTATATTCAGCCAGGCTGAATAGATGTTTTCATTAGGAAAACTATATTCAGCCTGGCTGAATATAGTTTTCCTATTCAGCCCAGACTGAATAGATGTTTTCATTAGGAAAACTATATTCAGCCTGGCTGAATATAGTTTTCCTAATGAAAACTATATTCAGCCAGGCTGAATAGGAGTTTTCATTAGGAAAACTATATTCAGCCAGGCTGAATAGGAGTTTTCATTAGGAAAACTATATTCAGCCAGGCTGAATAGGAGTTTTCATTAGGAAAACTATATTCAGCCAGGCTGAATAGTTGTTTTCATTAAGAAAACTATATTCAGCCAGGCTGAATAGATGTTTTCATTAGGAAAACTATATTCAGCCAGGCTGAATAGATGTTTTCATTAGGAAAACTATATTCAGCCAGGCTGAATAGATGTTTTCATTAGGAAAACTATATTCAGCCAGGCTGAATAGGAGTTTTTATTAGGAAAACTATATTCAGCCAGGCTGAGTAGGAGTTGTCATTAGGAAAACTATATTCAGCCAGGCTGAATAGATGTTTTCATTAGGAAAACTATATTCAGCCAGGCTGAATAGATGTTTTCATTAGGAAAACTTTATTCAGCCAGGCTGAATAGATGTTTTCATTAGGAAAACTATATTCAGCCAGGCTGAATAGATGTTTTCATTAGGAAAACTATATTCAGCCAGGCTGAATAGTTGTTTCCATTAGGAAAACTATATTCAGTCAGGCTGAATAGATGTTTTCATTAGGAAAACTACATTCAGCCAGGCTGAATAGATGACTGAATAGGAGTTTTCTTTGGGAAAACTATATTCATTCAATGGAAGATTTTCTTAGAAAAACTATTGTATTCAAAATTTTTTTCTAGTGAACGACAACCGGATGGATCCTACAATGGTGCCATTGGTTCCATAATCGACAACAAATTGGATTTATGCCTGACGGGATTCTTTGTGAAGGACTATATGGTACCGGAAATGGAATTCTCCGTGGCAGTTTATGATGATATGTTATGTATCTACACCCCGAAAGCCGAACAAATACCCGAATCAATATTACCCATACTCTCGGTGGGTTATGATTTATGGTTGGTCTTCATTATCTCAGCATTCGTTTGTGGATTTATTTGGGTTTTGTTGCGTTATCTAAATTTACGCCTAAAGCTATGGCCAAAACGCCAGTCACAACTTATAATCAATGGACGGAATTTAGATAAACCCTATAAATGGCAAGTGATACGAATATTCATAGATACCTGGGTGGTATGGGTAAGGGTAAATCTGAATCGTTATCCACCATTTAATTCGGAAAGGATATTCATTGCCTCGCTGTGTTTGGTCAGTGTTATCTTCGGTGCAATTTTTGAATCCAGTTTGGCCACTGTCTATATCCATCCTTTATACTATAGCGATATCTATACCATGGAGGATTTGGATAAAAGCGGATTATATGTCATCTACAAATACACCTCGATGGGTGATGATTTATTTTTCAGCGAAACTTCTCCACTGTTTGCCAGTCTCAATAAGAAGCTGAAACATTTGAAGGATCTGAATGCGGATATTTTACAAGATGTTGTCGATAATGGTGGTAAGGCGGGAGTGACACGTTATACCACTTTGATTTTGGAATATCTTAGCTATATACGCAATCAGCAGATATGGATTGTACCGGAATGTCCAAAATATTACACCATCTCTTATGTTTGGCATAAAAATGCACCCTGGGAGGAGACCGTCAATCAGCTGCTGTTGAGAATGCAATCGGCGGGACTGTTTAATAAATTTATTAACGATATGCAAACGGATGTCGATATCGAACTATCAACTCAAGCAACGTCAGCAACAACAAGCAATTTTAAAGTCCTGACAATCGAAGATTTACAATTGGCTTTTTATGTTATTCTACTTGGTTCGCTAATGGCTTTCATTGCCCTACTAATCGAAAGGAGGAAAAAGAAATCGCGTCCACCGTGGAAAGCAGTGATAAGGAAATAAAATTAACAAAGGTGTGAATAGGTGTAAATTTCACCCAAGGGAGGGTGGTGAATAAAAATAGTTGACAGATACATGTTTGTTTGGGTTAGTTTGTTTGTTTTTGTTGCTTTATGGGTGCGACATGTTTAATCAAATAAGATATATACACACACAAATGTGATTTATTTAAAAATAAAATAAACAATAATATCGAAATTAGAGATTATATCTTTGGATAGAACAGTGGTTTCGAAGGATACTGAATGGACAAAAAATAAATAAAAAAGGCTGTAAAAAATCTGTAAAAATCCACGCCTTTATAGGCTCTAAGGAGGCTGTAAAAATTCCTTAAAAATCCACTCCTTTTTGGTCTGTAAGGTGGCTGTAAAAATTCTTTAAAAATCCACTCCTTTGTGGTCTGTAAGGTGGCTGTAAAAATTCTTTAAAAATCCACGCCTTTGTAGCCTCTAAGGATTTAATTTTTATAACCTCCCTACAGACCACAAAGGGGTGGATTTTTAAAGAATTTTTACAGCCTCCATCGTGAACACAAAGGCGTGGATTTATAAAGAATTTTTACAGCCTCCCTACAGACCACAAAGGCGTGGATTTTTAAAGAATTTTTACAGCCTCTCTAAAGACCACAAAGGCGTGGATTTTTAAAGAATTTTTACAGCCTCTCTAAAGACCACAAAGGCGTGGATTTTTAAAGAATTTTTACAGCCTCTCTAAAGACCACAAAGGCGTGGATTTTTAAAGAATTTTTACAGCCTCTCTAAAGACCACAAAGGCGTGGATTTTTAAAGAATTTTTACAGCCTCTCTAAAGACCACAAAGGCGTGGATTTTTAAAGAATTTTTACAGCCTCTCTAAAGACCACAAAGGCGTGGATTTTTAAAGAATTTTTACAGCCTCTCTAAAGACCACAAAGGCGTGGATTTTTAAAGAATTTTTTACAGCCTCTCTAAAGACCACAAAGGCGTGGATTTTTAAAGAATTTTTACAGCCTCTCTAAAGACCACAAAGGCGTGGATTTTTAAAGAATTTTTACAGCCTCTCTAAAGACCACAAAGGCGTGGATTTTTAAAGAATTTTTACAGCCTCTCTAAAGACCACAAAGGCGTGGATTTTTAAAGAATTTTTACAGCCTCTCTAAAGACCACAAAGGCGTGGATTTTTAAAGAATTTTTACAGCCTCTCTAAAGACCACAAAGGCGTGGATTTTTAAAGAATTTTTACAGCCTCTCTAAAGACCACAAAGGCGTGGATTTTTAAAGAATTTTTACAGCCTCTCTAAAGACCACAAAGGCGTGGATTTTTAAAGAATTTTTACAGCCTTTAAATAGGGTCTTTATTTGAATATTTGTTACTAGTAAATACCATCATTGAATACCACTGTGTATTCAACAAGAATCTAACAAATGGGCGGTGCTAAATTGATAGCCATGTCAAGGGGCAAGAACAATCAAATAAAAAAACTAGTTTATCTCCCCCTTTTTCGGTATTTATTTTCAAACAAGCAAAGATCATGAAACCAAAAAAATAAAAATATTTGAATATAAAACCTTGAATAGGCCTTTGACAAAAAATAGTCAATTTTAGCGGGTATGTCTGTAAGGACATTAATACAAATCGTGTGTCTTTTAATAATTACACGCATTACACACTCTTTAAATTTGCAAAATATTAAGGACCTGGTAAATTCATTGGATTGTCTACAAATAAGTTTGGATACACAACAAGCTGAGGATTTTCAAATCTATCAACAAATTTATAAAACATTTCAAATACCATTGGAAAATAGTAAAGGACTTCGTCGTAGTATGCAGACAAAATGTCGTCATAAATTGCTGTATGTAAATAAATTCGAATCGATATCGAAGATGCTTGCAACGGAAGCAACCAAAGCTGGATTTATAATTCTTGTATTCACCAAAGAGATTAAAGATTGGTCAATGATTTTAAATCGAAGTCAAGAGTTATGGCGGAGGCAGAGAATCTATAAAGTTATTTATGTAACACCAACTCAAACTCGTTTCTTTCATCCTTTTGTAAAGAATAAAAAAACGAATGCAGACTTCGGTTCCATGGTCCATTTGGAGAAATATAATTTGAAAAAGATTTTTCACAATATGAATGGATATCCCTTGCGTATTTATATCTTCGATTCAATATTTTCCAATGTAATGGCTGATAATGATGCTGGTCATATATCGGGTGTTAAAGGCACGGATGGTAAAATTGCCTATGCCCTGGAATCGTATTTGAATTATACAATGGAATTACAATGGCCTGATGATGAATTTTATGGGTGAGTAGATGTTTTTTTCTTTATCTTTGGTAGAACTTTTTTAAAAAATATAACAAGTAAATACGATGTTATGTTCGGCCCGGCCGAACATGTTATATCCTACACCATGAGGATGTAATTCAAAATACATAAAACAATAAAATTAATAATAATAATTTTTGGTACGGATATATGCACTCAAAACACCAAATTACAGCCACATTAAAAGTGTCAGCAAATTTGTCTGAAAAATGTGTATAAAATCCCCAAAATACCGAATATTGGGAGGTACCGTTATATGAGGTCTATCCTGAAACTTGTGTCAATATTAATAATTTTTGGTACGGAGATGTGTTATACTATGAGAACCCAAAATATCAAATTACATCCAATTCGATTGAGAAACGTGTCCAAAATTCCGAATATTGGAAAGTGCCGTTATATGGAGGCTACCCTGAAACATAGGACAAAATTAAAATTTGTTTGTAGTGAGCTTTGACACACAATGAGAACCCAAAATATCAAATTACAGCCAATTGGATTGAAAAACGTGGTCAAAATCCTCAAAATACCGAATATTGGAGAGTATCCCCAAAATACCGAATATTGCGGGGTACCGTTATATGGCGGCTACCTTGAAATTTAAATCAATATTAATAATTTTTGGTGCGGAGATGTGTTATATAATGACAACTCAACATACCTAATTACAATTAATTCGATTGAAAAACGTGGCCAATATCCCCAAAATACCGAAAATTGGGGGTACCGTTATATGGGGGCTACCCTGAAATTTGGGTCAATATTAATAATTTTTGCTACGAATATGTGTTACACAATGATAACCCAAAATACCAAATTGCAGCCAATTTTGTTGAAACACATATCTAAAATCCCCAAAATACCGAATATTGCGCGGTACCCTTATATGGTAGCTACCCTGAAACGTGGATCAATATTAATAATTTTTAGTATGGAGTTTTGCTATATAACGAGAACCTAAAACACCATATTACAGCCAACTCGGTTGAAAAACGTGTCCAAAATCCCCAAAATACCGAATATTGGGGGGTACCGTTATATGGGGACTACCCTCAAACTTGAGTCAATATTAAAAACTTTTGGTAGTGAGATTTGACACCTATGAGAATACAAAGTACCAATTTAAAGCCAATTCGGTTGAAAAATGTGTCCAAAATCCTCAAAAATACAGAATATTCGGTGTACCGTTATATGGGGCTACCCTGAAACTTGCATCGATATATCCCATTTGCAATACCAAACATCCTAGGAGTACTGGCAATGTCTGTTCAATATTTCAGAGCTCAATCTTAAATATAGTGATCTCTATCGTCATTTCAACAGACGAACAAGCATAAATCGGAATATAATTGTAATTTCCGACCCACGTAGTTGGTCCTGCCCAACATAGGCGTTATGTACTTATTTTATAAATTGAAACAAAAATAAACCCCCTTTCCCTTCTTTTTACAGCTCCCGTTTAGAAAATGGTTCATTTAACGGCGCCCTGGGACGTATAATACGCCAGGAAACAGATATCTCCTTTACGGGATTCTTTGTCAAAGATTATCTATCGGATGACATAGCATTCACCACGCCCGTCTATATGGACAGATTATGTTGTTATGTTAAGAAAGCGAAGCGTATACCCCCATCAATTCTACCTCTACATGCAGTGGATGAAAGTATATGGATGGGTTATGTAGCCTTTGGTCTGATATCCGGAGTTTTTTGGATACTACTAAGGCGTTTGAATCTCAAATTAAATCCTCAAGAAAAACGGAATTTTACAAGAAAAGAATGTCATTGGTATAATTTGTTCGCTGATACATGGGTGCTATGGGTACGAATGACAATATCACGATTTCCATCATCAAATGCGGAACGGATTTTTGCCATATCACTGTGTTTGGTTAGTGTTATAATTGGTGCCATTGTGGATTCAAGTTTGGCTACGGTGTTCATTAAACCCCTATACTATAAAGATATAACCACACTGGCGGAACTTGAAAAAGCCAATTTGAGAATATTCTACAAACATCCGGCAATTAAAGATGATCTCTTTACTGGTCATTCCTCGTCAATTTATCAAAGTTTAGACAAGCGAATGTTGCTGGTGGGAGAGCCGGAGGAGCGTTTAATAAAAATGATGTCCCTAAGAGGTAATTTTGCAGCGGTGACACGTTCATATTCCCTAAGTTTGGTGGATATTTATTACTTCATAACGAAGAAGGTTTTCATGATTCCCGAATGCCCCAAGGTATATCACATAGCATTCCCGATGCAAAAACATTCACCGTTCGAAGAGGAATTTAATTTGGCCCTGCTGGAATTGTTACAGGCCGGTTTAATTGATCATTGGATTAAACTGGAACAATACACTTCGAAAAGTCGTATGCATCTATTTGAAGATTACATCGGTGAATCGGAATATAAATGGAAACTATTAAAAATTAATGATTTACAATTGGCATTTTATGTGTTAACCTTCGGTTTAAGTGTATCCCTCTTGCTGTGTATTGCTGAATATTTATATTGTAAATTAAAATTAAATAAAATAAAATCGAGAAGATAATAATAGAAATCATGACTTACCACGAAAATTGGATGTTATGCCTGTACTGGTGCTAGGAATATTTGCATTACTGTTATTGGTGTTGTTGTGAGACGATGTTTGTGTTGTGTTTGTAGGAGGGGTAGCAGCAGCAGCAGTGGCAACTGCAGCTGTGTTGGAGCGACTAGAACTGCTAAAAGCAAAATTACCAGAATCTTCTGTTGATGAGCAATTGGCGGAATCTGTAAAAAAGAATAATGAGTACTTGAATTATGTATAACATTAAAAAATATATATAAAAGGACCAACACAAGGCCTGGATTTTTTAAAGTAGACTTTTTCAAGGCCTATATAAGACGGGAATTTTTTTAAAGTAGACTTTTTCAAGGCCTATATAAGGCGTGGATTTTTTAAAGTATACTTTTTCAAGGCCTATATAAGGTGTGGATTTTTTTAAGTATAGTTTTTCAAGGCTTATATAAGGCGTGGATTTTTTAAAGTATACTTTTTCAAGGCCTATATAAGGCGTGGATTTTTATACTCTACACAACTATGTTGTCAGGGTATTATAGCTTTGTGCAGCCCCAAAAGTTTGTAACGCCGCGAAATATTGCCTATATAAGTATACCAATCGTGCATTTTTTAAAGTATATACTTTTTCAAGGCTTGACCTATATAAATTATATGTCTGTATTTTTTACGAAATTAAGTAAAGGTGACTTTTTCAAGGCCAGTTTTCGGTGAATTTGAGATTTCATTCTGGGGGTGCAATGAACCGAAAACTTTAATTTTGTCAGATTTTATAGTCGCTTTAGAGGCAATTATTATATACAGAACATCATATATTTTACAAGGTGAAGGGGATCTGACCAAATACTAAGAGCGGCTGTTTAGATGATGATCGGTCAATTTTTCGGGGGTAAAATCAACCAAAACCTAAAGTGTCCAATTTTTTATGTATGGCGTAAAAATTCTCTTCATGAAAAAAACATTTTGGAAAATATTCAAGACTTAGAAATGGGAGTTGTTGATTTTCTGTAAAAATTTTGTAGACTTTAAAACCGCCGAAAGTGGTAGTTGTGTAGGGTATCATATGGTCGGCCCCGTCCGACTATACTGCTCCGCTCACTGGTTTAAAGTATACTTTTTCAATGCCTATATGTATAAGGCGTGGATTTTTTAAAGTAGACTTTTTCAAGGCCTATATAAGGCGTGCATTTTTTAAAGTAGACTTTTTCAAGGCCTATATAAGGCGTGACTTTTTTAAAGTAGACTTTTTCAAGGCCTATATAAGGCGTGCATTTTTTAAAGTAGATTTTTTCAAGGCCTATATAATGCGTGTATTTTTTAAAGTAGACTTTTTCAAGGCCTATATAAGGCGTGCATTTTTTAAAGTAGACTTTTTCAAGGCCTATATAAGGCGGAATAAAATTCTATGTCGATTTAGGCACTTCGGTCTGGGTACTGCAAACGGAATGACAAATACAATATACCCTATAGAGGAGGCTATACAAAAAATAAACACGTACCATCTTTCCTCAGTGGCGATTTCTGCATTTGAACTTTACGATAACATGAACCTGAAGCAGCAGCTGCGGCCGCTGCCGCCCTTGAAGTTGTTGGCTCTTCATTATTACTAGAATTGTTGGTATTCGCATTCGCACCATTGCCGTGCTGCGTACGTTTCGCTGGAAGACGTTGATTCTGTTGTTTCTTACGTCCATTAACGACCACAACCAATTTACGTGGACGCCGACCATTCTGGGTGGCACCTTTTATTGCCAAACGACGTAATGTATTACGTTTCTTTGATATTAAGTAAGCAATACGATTTGCTGGTTTTTGTATTTGATTTAATTTTACTTTTGGTTTCGGTTTTCGCGACTTTTTATTTTGTTTACTGCTACGATTTCGCGGCGAATTCTGCTGCTGTTGTTGATTTCTTAATGATTTTCTTTGCAATACTTGTTGACGTTGTAAACGCCGCATGTTACGTACAGCTGAGGCATTATTTTCATTATCACTATCACTGTCGGCCGATGAAGAACTACTCCATAAACTGCTACTACTCTGTGATGCTGTGCTGGAGGAAGATGAACTACTACTACTGCTGCTGCTGCTACTGCTGGAACTATCACTGCCAGAACTACTTTCGCAGCTGGAACGTGATCCGCGATCGAAATTCGATTCAGTATCCCAGCCTTCGATTTCTTGTTGTATCAGGGAGTCAAAAAATGCCATCATTCGGGGATCTTCATTGGTGTTTTCACTGCTGTAGTCGTGTGACAAATGATGCCAATTTTCGGGTAAAGCCATGGTGAACAGGTTATAGGGTGAATATAATTCACGTGGATTATCGGAACAAGTCGCCTCGGTTGTTAGGCTGCCAGTCCAGTTGTGTTGGGCAAAAGGGCTCCAAATCTAGAAAAGAATACAGAATTCTCATACAAAATGTTTATTGGATATTTTCCGGATCATTTCTTTCTTACCTTAACGATTTTTTCAACACCCGATGAGGCCAACAGACATTTCTGACGATTATAGCGTACCTGGTTGACAATTGAACGATGACCATATAAAACCATTTGTGAGGGTTCCACCCATTGTTCAATAAACTCCACTGGAATTGAGAGGCGAAGTACATTAATGGATTTCCCATATAAACTGATCTTCACTTACAATTAATATCCGATAAACGCCATACATACAAATTAAAATCATCTGAACCCGATATTACCAATTCATCATCTTCGCCTGCGAAAGTGCAACTTTTCATGGTGCACGAATTGTAATAACAGCTATTGTAAAAAGTACAGATCCTTTCCGGTGAATTGATGCTATACAAAATGGGTGTCAGACGTCGGCGTAGACCCAAAATTAAATTGCCGGTGCGATTGAAGCGAACACTCATACTACTGCAAAAATTATCATGACGTCCATATTGTATAACGGGCCTAAAAACAAGAAATACAACATTTCAATATTACGGAGGGGAGGAGGAATCATATGGACTACTCACTTTTTCGGTTGACGTATATCATATAAAGCTGCACCCTTTTTTGAATTTGCGGTGACCAAAAGATGACTCATATTCGGATGGAATTCCACAGCATGAAACGATGATGAGGATGAGGCCACCACAAGTGGATCATCAGGATCTGTGCGTTGATCGAATAACAAAATAAAACCATTTTCCGATGCTGTGGCAAAAATGCTATCATTTTGAGGATCAATCGATAGGCCATAGACAGGTTCATCGTGTTTGAAAACATTATCCAACTTTCCACTGCAACAAATAATAAATAATATAATGAAAATTAATTTTCTAAATATTTCAAAATAATAACACTTACGTTTCAAAATCATGTGAAATAGCTAAGGCATCATTTCCTCCGGAAATCAATTTACGATTTTTACTATCGAAACCCAAGCAAAATATATTACTTGATTGCTCTGTTGCCAGGGCTCGAGGACCAGCCGTACCGGCCAATGATTTTTCAATATCCCATACCAGAACACGTTTGTCATCGCCACCTTAAAGAAGAAAAGAAAAACGGCAAAGGCAAATTATAATCTTATTAAAAATGTATTTAAATTTTTTTTTACACTCACCCGATGCCAAAAATTGCCCGCCATGTGAAAACTCAATGGCATTGACACAACCAAAATGTCCCTTGAGATCGGTTTTGTAGAGATTTCTGGCTAGCCTCAAGCGCTCTCGATACAGACGAGACTTAAATGAATGTGAACTTCCACGAAATTGTAGATTATTTTCACGTTGGAGTATTTGGTGACCCAAGTTACTGGTGGTATCAATTGATTCGTACATTTTTCCTCTCTATCTCTCTTCACTTAAATCCGTTAGATTTGTTGTTGGATGTTGTTTCTAAATGCACTAGTTGACAACTTTTTTTGGTTTATTCTTAACTGGTCACGTATTAAAAATGTTCCATTTCATTTTACGATCACGTATACATAAAATTGAGCGGGGTACCTCTTTTTAGGCGATCTTACTCATGTTATTACACAGAATCTGTAATTATGCAAAGGAAATCGAACAATTACTTGAAAATTCAGGTTAATTGAGATGTCATCTTAGTCAGCATTTTGACCGCAAAATATGCCAATATATTGACGGATAATATATCGTCTACGTAAGATACTGCTATTTGATATCAAATTAGAAGTAGAACTGAGGAATTCAAGCTAATGGCCGGTAGGACATTTAACGTTGACAGAATGTCGCTGTCAAATGTTTTAACAAAACTATGGAACTGCCTCTGTTGAACATCTGTTGCCGATTACCTCGCAGTAACTCATACGGATTTTGCCAATAAAGTAGCCAATAGGAGGTTGTACATATATCTAAGTCGGTAGATTTGACGACTGCGAACCCCCTCGAGCAAGCTCTTCTACTGTGTGTGTCCTGGCACCCAACTATCCGTCGTATATCAAGAAGATAATCCTTGCACTCACCATCCGCTTTTGAGTTAATAGTACACGACTTATGTGCCTCAAAGGCCCGCCTGACTAATGACATATATATTCACCGGTCCTATGTTGGCAGCACTAAGTGTTTTGACTAACTCAAACCCGTTTGGGAGATACAATCAAAAAAAATTGTTTTAGGACACCGATTTTTTTTTTTTTTTTTTTTTTTTAAAAACTCCCTAAAAGTCAAACCATTATATTCCCTCGCCAATCCTGACACAAATGTAGATATGGGCTTTAAAACCCTGCAAAAACAAGGATTTTTTTTTGGGGGGAATAGATTTTTATTTTCTTGTCGGCTTTGGTGGGCTCCAGTACAGCTCTTCTAATCACTTGCCAAATTCCCTTCACCGTGGGTTGTGTTGTGATGTTCGTCTTTCTACTGTGGTCTATAGATCGACTCGAAAAACACACACAAATAAAATAAGTTTTCGGTCCATTTAATCCCAATATTATTATAGGCGTTGTCCTTGACCATACCTGGATCATCATGGAAAATTTCAAAGCGTTCAGCACTACATTTTCGACCTCTAGTGTGGTAATAGGTTACTAAATAATATATGAAAACGTAAGCACCTGTAAATATTTAAGTGTAACTTCCACATCCGGGTACATACGACAATATAATTGGTATCAATTTAAAGGCCAACCACTCCTCTTGAATATCCTATCAACTTCTAGGGTCTTTGTCCTTCAGGGGTAAATATATACGCCATAGAATGACATTTTCCATTGTCATTATTCACACAAATGTCAGGGTCCATTTGACCCGCTAAATAATGGCCGATTTTTATCAAAACAGGCATGTTTATTCTTTTGCCCGATGCCCTATATTTGCCCAGTAGGTCTATAAGACCTACTGGTTTTCTATAAGACCCACTGTTCCTTTATAAAAGTCTTCAGATCTTATATAAGTCTTCCTTAAGACCTAAATATTAACAATAGGGGTCTTCTTTAGCCTGTATTGTTTTTATATAAGACCTACTGGGTTTCTATAAGACCCACTGTTCCTTTATAAAAGACCTTCAGATCTTATATAAGACCTAAATATTAATAATAGGGGTCTTCTTTAGCCTGTATTATGTTTACAAATTATAATAGACAGACACACATGTCTAGATCGACTCAGCTAGAGGAGATATGACGATGGGTATACATAAAGATGAGTCTAGGACCAATATTTAGAGGCGTTACAAACTATAATAAAGCTATAATACCCTGACAACATAGTTGTATGGGATAACTACCCAAACATAGAAAATTTCTTTTAAATAGAATAGTTATTATTATTATTTTTTTTTTGTTTCCTTGTTTGTCTAGGGTTCAAATGCCCATATCGACGCCTCCGAACCATAGTATGCTAAGTCGACTTAGCATGTTCTAAAGTTCTTTATGTTTTTAGATACTACGGTCCTTAATTTAAATTCACTGAACTTTTGGTAATCGTTGGCCAATTCAAACCAAACTTATAAGCAAAAATGTACTTAGCGTGGCACTTACGATTAAAGAAACTTCCATACTTTGAAAGCTTCTACTGAAAAACTCACTTTTCAGACTTAGCATACTATGGTTCGGAGGCGTCGAAATATTTGATCCACAACAGATAAAGCCACATATCACACCATTTTGGAACGGGCAAATTGTAGTCTATAATTAAAATCAGTTTTGGCAGAGGCCCCACTGGATTAACGAAATCCGCTTAAATGTAAACGTACTAATAAGCCGAGGCCTCTTTCAAATCCGGTTAAATGTAAACGTACTATTAAGCCGGGGTCTCTTCAACATTTATCCGGTGGAGTGAAAAATTTAATATACATTCCATCTTAAAGAGGATTTACATATAACATTTGATCATGATTAAAGGACGAATCAAGGTTTATTTTCATTAAGTCATCGTGCGGCAGGGTTTATTTTAAATGATGATCGAATTCATGATACTACTGAGATGCAACGCGGTTTTTGTACGAAAAAATACAACTCTCTCACAATGTACCAACATTTTGCAGCAAATTTATAATTTTGTATATATATACTACAAACATCGGTTGATCGGTATTTAGATCATGATTAAAGGTATGTGTAAACAATTAGGGTGTATTTATTTATTCGTTTCATTCAATAATACTAAAGCCTTCAATGTAGAGACTAAAAACTAAAAAACTTAACTTAAATTTCTGGATTTCGTTAATCGAGTCGATTTAAAATTGTATATGTAAATGTACTTTTATAGCTATCCATATTGTTCTTATGTGTGTACCCTACTTCATTAGTACAACTGTGTGGGTAACCGGTTATGATTTTCAAAACACATATGTCAAAGCAACAAGTCACTTTGAAGGCTGAAATATATCAATATAATTCTCTCTATTATTTTTATTTATAAAAATAGATTTTTTCTTAATTTTACTGTAATCATATTAGACAACTAATTCCCGTTTCTCTATTTAATTTCATTCTCTCCATTATCATTTATGTCATTGTTCATGTTTGTTCGATGTGTAATCATTATTCTCGCCACGACTGTATATCATATGTTTTTAGATAGTACAGTAATATATACAACACAATATATAAATATGTACATAGATATGTACAAGACCACTCATTTACATACACTGAAATGATTCCTTCTATGATTTGTTGTTAATAATTTTATTTAATTGAAATAGATTTTTTATTTTAATTTAGTTAACAAATTTCATAGAAAAACTTTAAATTGAAAAATTAATGTTTTCTTTATTAAATAATTCTCTCACTTTATTAAACACTTGCCACAAACCAACTTCACTTTTAATGCGTAGACTGTTATCAATATTTTATTTGTTTGTTTAACTTATTATTAGTGTTGTTGTTTTGGAAATTGCAATATTTGTATTAAATTTAATTTGTCTATTTCTTTTGATTTGGTTTTGTTGGAGAATAAAAATTACGGTTGGTAAATAAAAGCACAATTGCTTGCTTGTTGTTGGTCGATGATGATGATGTATGTCGCAGCAGCATTTGATGTCGTCGTTGCCGTTCAATAGATGATGGTATTTGCTTGCTTTTATTTTTTTGTTTTTAGTTGTTGTTTTTCTTTTTTGTATTTTTGCTGCTGCTGCCACATAGTCGCAGCGGCTGCAGCAGTCGCCGTTCGTCTTGTATATAATGGTCGTCAAAGACTTCTTATTGTTAGTTTTGTTGTTGCTTTTGCTAGCTAATAATACACTTTAATTTCGAAATTACCATAGATTTTTATTTATATTCAACATTTTGCACTTCCGAATGAATAGTTTTTCACGATTCTATGCCAATTTGATGACAATAAACTTATTAAAACTGGAGAGACAATTTTATAAAAATGCAAAAGGTACAATTATACTTCGCTGTATTTGGTGTAATCAGTTTGAAGAGTGTGGACAATGTGACGTTTATTTTTAAACGCCACACTCGGCATACACCCTACATATTGTAGTTGTCAGAGTTGTTTGTTTGTTCTAATTGGAAATGTTATCTAATTGGAAATTAATGAAATATGTACATGGAATTTGTTGACAGTTTGTAGGTGCTCTATGAAATGAAGCACTATTTGGTGGAAATCGTTACTAGTGTATCACTATTTAAAAATTCTCATTATTTTTGGTTTTGCATCTTAAAATGATTTGTCCGTTATTTTAAATAAAATAATTGATTCAATGTTTTACCAGTTTTGTGGGTTGAGGTACGGTTTTCGAGTAAAACGTTGCAAAACATGTAAAATGAGTAGATTTTTTTAGGTTCTGGAACGGAACTAATGTATCAGGGTCCAACAAAAAGGTCGTCCGATAAAGCCAAATAATTTCACCCGAGCTGTCAAAATGCTTTCAATTTTTTACTTAATCGTGTAAAAACGTAAACAAAAAATTTGACAGTTTGGGCGATTTTCTACCACAATGACCGGTAATATTCGCTTCTTACACAACCTGTTTATTCATTTTTAATAATAGGAATCAAGGTAGATATACAAGGTAGCCGCATCGGCGAATTGGGAACATGATATGTCAAATTGGCGAATAATAACAATTTTGCCATGGCATACAAAACTCGAAGCACATAAAATTTAACCAATTAGACTTAAGAATTAAAAAAAAACGAAATATATTATATTATTCAGAAGAAAATTACACAGTATTTAAAAACTCTTACTGGGAAAATTTACCCAGTAAAGATCTTCCACATGGCATAATTACAGAAGGTAGTCTCATAGTACTTTTACATTATACCGGATTTAGTTAACCCACTGCCACTGAACACATTTAGGCGGAAGATATTTTCATTTAAATTATGAAAGCTGAATTCTGTCAAAGGCAAATTTATGAAAAAATTGCAAACATATGACTGCATTAGACTACCTTGTATAATTATGCCATGCGGTTAATCTACTTTATGAGGATTTATTTCACATATATGCAAAGGAATTGACAGTTGAAATTAATTAAATCCAGTTAAATGTAAACGTACTGTGGCGGCCGGAAAACACTCAATAATAAGTTACTTTAAAAATATTATTTTTATGTGATCAAGTTATCTTTGATTTTTATTTTTCTCTTTCGTCAAGTTTGCCTTGACTTTCAGTTTTTGTATTTGGTGACAACAAAATAATTTTTACATTTTCTAGTTAGTTCTATTTTGTCTTTTGAAAATTAAACATCAACTTTTTTAATAAAATTTAATTGTTGTGGGTTTATTCATTCCAACGCCCAACAAATTGGTGACCCCGGACAAAAAATAAGAACAACAGCCAATTGAACGGAAATCAGACCTACTAGTGGCAATCACCGCTACAAATTTTGGACCATCAATGGAAGTTTCGCGAGTAGCTGTGAAAGCTCCACCATTTTGGCGTCCAGACCCGTTGCTGTGGTTTAAACAAATGGAATCGCTATTCATTGCGACGACAGTCTTGACAAATTGTCAACGATGGCCGACAAGACTGCGGATAGCAGTGAATCGGATGTGTGCAGCTTTTCTCCATCGAGCAAATATATGTGTAAAGAATTAAAGTGGGTTTAGATGTACGAACTCCACTGTCATTGCAATAATAATGATTTTTTTTAAATTTTTCTTTTTGTTTTCAAATTACAAGCAAATATTTTTTGGCGCAGATAAACAATTTTGTATGTATACTAACAAACTTCAGCTGATCGACATTTAGATCATGATTAAAGTTATGTGTAAACAATTTGGCTGTATTTCTGGACTTCGCTAATCAAGTCGGTTTAAAATCGTATATGTAAATGTACTTATACTAAATAAATTACTATAAGTTCCAACAGTTATCATTAGTAGTCAACTGGAGTAGTCATAATACAATTCTGGAGTAGTCATAATCCAATTAATCAAATTTTCTAATCATAACCCATAATTCAAATAATCAAAACCATTTTTTTTTTTTTGTAATTTGATCGGTATTTTTTTAGTAGTCCAATATCCCTCCCTTGCGAAATGTAGCTTACAGCCTTAAGGTCGAAAGACTGGGCAATGAAATATAAAATAAACAAATTATAATGATGTTTATGATTTTACGACCTTTCGAATGTTTAATAAATTATAGATGGCTGATCGAGCTTGAGGTCAATATTTGTATTTATTTATTATTTTCTGGTTTTATATGAAAAATACACCTCATTGGAGATGGTGTCAAAAGGGCGACTATTAAGAGACAAGAAGTTGTTGTTACACGAGCCCTTATTGTCATACTTGCTGTCAGTTTTTTGTACACACAGCATTATTTATGTATTATTTATGTATTCCTTCCACTAATCTTTATTCATTTCTTAAAGTTATTTTCTACCAGAAACTTATTTTCTCTTGTGTGTACTGGCACGTCACCTGATAGTGGCAGTATTATAGCGCCACCTACCAGAATGTTATCTTCAATTGCCAAACAAACAAAACAGCTGATCTATTTGGTTTACATATGAAGATACATGTGTTGTCATATCGTTTTGGCGGCTGTAATTTTTCGTGTGGCCCTCACGACGTTTGCAGTATTAACATATATAAATTTTGGCAGTATATATGACATTGTTGGATCGTGTGATATTTATATATTTGTTGTTCTCTATTTCATACTTAATGTATTCCTGTGTAAACACTGTATAAAACACAAACAAGCACTTGTGTGAAAAGTCAGGGTTGTAAGTCATCGACAACAAAAACACACAAACTACAGAAATGTTTGAGTTTGCTTGTGGAGCGCTTTTCAATTTGGTTTCACTTTGTGTTTGCTACGACCTGATTAGTACTTTCACGATTGCATTAGTACAGAATTTTTATTAGAAAAACATTAAATTATTTTTATTAATTATTACAATTTAATAAAATATCCTCAGACATTATGAGTTTCCATGATGATCCCAACGATCCCGAGTGGTAAGTAGCACAAAATAGTGCAAAACGGTTATGGTCGGAACTTAAAAAATCAGCCTTGTATAACAACCTCCTACTATTTTGTTTTTCAATACCCTTTTGCTGCCATTATTTCCTAAACTACGTTTTTTTCCGATGTTGAAATTTTAGGAAGGTAACAAAATTGAAAACACAACCGGGAACCGTTAAAGAACATCACAGTGGTGGCGGTTCGGCTAGTAAACCGAAATATTCACAGAAATTTTGTGAAAAATGGTTAAATATATTTTCGCCATGGCTGGCACGCTGTGAAGATGACCCCAATAAACCATTTTGTCGGGCATGCCAGTGTCGTTTGGATTGTAATCGCTGTCATTTGCAGCGCCACGAACGGACCAGTAAACATAATCGCAATTTGGAAATTTTAATAAATAAAGGGGAAGGAGTGGCACGTTTGAATTTGAGCATACGAAGGGAACGCAGTAAATATTATCAGCAACGAAAGAGACTGTCGCCGACACCGGAGGATAGTGATAATGGCATTGATGAGTTTATAGAAGAGTAAGTAATGTTAATTATAATGACCCTTGTTAGTTATATTTAATATCAATGAATTAATGTTTTGTTTCTGCTTTTCAGACCGGAACAGGAAAACGACTACACCACCTATGAACCCCAAACTGATGAACAAACTTCTGAGGATCAATATATGCAAGATGATAGCATGGAAAATTCAGAAATTATAACCGCAGACGATGTCCAACAAATTGTTGAGAATCAATCTCCACCACCACCACCTCCCACACAACCACCAGCATTACAACCAAAACCCAATATTATTCGTCAACGTAAACTGATCAAAAATGAAGAATTGCCGCTACAAAACATCGAAGATATTTCCGATCGTAAAGAAGGCATGAAGTTGCTACTACAAATACAAAAAGATAAAAATGAGTTAATGGATTCATTCAAGGAGCTAATGGGCAATAATATGACCGTAACACCAGCACCCAAAGAGAAAAATCATGTTGATTTATTCTTTGAAAGTGTTAGTTCGAGTGTAAAAGCATTGAGTCCGAAAATGATTGCTGAAGCTAAAATGCGTGTATCCCAGTTAATATGTGAATTGGAATTGAGGGCTCTAACGGAAAATGATCAACAACACCAACAGCAGCATCACCAATCGCAGCAACAGCAACATCAAACTGTTGTTTTGGCAAATGATACAACAACAACGGGCTCTTATATTATAAATCATGCACCAACAATCCAACAACATCACTCCAATGATGTTCATCATGTTGATGGGGTACATCATTATGAAGGATTAAGTTGATCATTGCATGTTGATTTTTAAAATGTCAGAAAATATAGTTTTGAAATACTATGTAGTTAATTATTATATAGAACATATAAAGAAATTATGATTTTATGGAATTTTCGTTTTAATTTAAATGTGGTAATAAAATTGATAACTAGTCTAGGTATTAGATTCCCGGATATGTTGCAGGATCCTTAAACGCTTTGGGTCCCAGACTGTGACAAAAATTCTGAACGCAATTTTTTTAGTCGTGGATTTAATAATAGGTGTGGATTTTTTAAAGAATATTTTTTCAATTGCTACCAAAGGCGTGTATTCTTTAAAGAAAAATGCTGATTTTTTAAAGAATATTTTTTCAATATGATTTTTTTTAAAGAATAATTTTTGGAAGGCTAATTTTTTAATATTTTTTCAAGGCGTGGATTTTTTAAAATTTTTTTCAAGGCCTAACAATTTTTGTATTTTTTCGGGCTATTTTAATTATTTTTTAATAATCTAATAATTTTTTTGAATATTCTCAATATTTTTTATTTTTTTGGCTTCCCATTTTCATTTACCATTTTCCGTCATCAAAACATCAATTTCACTATCGTCATTATCCCCCTCATAGCCATTGAGAGAATTTTGAAAAATACTTGAATTTTCAGGCAAATCATTTGAAATACTATCAAGGCTACTGCAACATGAAACATAATTCGAAATGGTCTCCCTTACATCCAGTGGATCCTGATTATGAAATTGAACTCCAGATGTTGGCGCCTTTTCACTCACATTAAACATTTTGATTTTATGGCGTATAGCCCCAACACCTCCATAATTACTCCCTGCATTCTTCACATCCTTCGCTGGAGTACTTAAAATATTATCAATCTGATCCAATGACTCCTTGGCCTTGCGAAATAATTGCAAACTATCTCTCAGCAAATGACTGTCATTTAATTTTTCAAAATTTTCCAAGATTTTCTTTATATCCACGGGAGGTGGTGGCGATTGCGATGCGGTTGTATGATCATATTCCTTATCTTTGGCTTTTTCAAATTCTAATATGAGTTTCTTAATTCTTGTCATGCGATCGGCACAAAGGTTTGTTGCAGAATTTTCAACCAAATGCAGTGTGGAGGAGACTTCATCAATTTCTTGTATAATATCCTCGGATTTCCGAATAACTGTGCTATGTTGCAGGCGCAATTGTTTCAGGCGTTCTTTTAAATCTTGCAAATAAATGTCGACACGCTGAATTTGCATGGCCTCATCGGGAACTAAAAAATAAGAATTTAATAATTTTTTTCTAAAAAAAATTATAACATTTTGCATACGTTTAATTTTTCGTGGATATTCCATTATATAAAGAATTTTGAATTGTTTATTTTACCCAAATGAATATTTTTTACTGAAAATGTTTTTTTTTGTTTTTCCTTGTGATGACAACTATAAAATGTAAATATAAATCAAGGTAGATATATAATAATATATAATATACCTTGAAACAAATATAATTTCATATTAATATTTATATTATAATTATTACTTTATTATCCACTATTAAAAAAAGTACAATCTGATATTTGCCTGTCACAAACCGTTGTGCTGCAAATTTATCATTGCTCATTTCATGTATGTATGTCTCTCTCGCTCTCTTTTTCACTCTCCCATACAAATGACGACAATTGGCGCAAAAATATCGTTTATTTGTCCATCGATATCACATTTCTATCGATAGTTGCCGATAGTCGCGCTTCATTTTTGCAAATGTCATGCCGGTTCTGCCGTTTTATTAAAAACGTATTTTTTTCTTTAAATTTTATAAAATATACAAAAGAGAGAAAGTGAAAAATTGAAAAAATGTGTAATTGGAAATATAAAGAAGAAAATTGAAGCAACCATTGAAATAAATCCTGTATTAAAATGGTCCTTGCCAAATTGTGTTGAAGGAGATGAAAAAAATGAAAGGAATTGCAAGTGTCGTGATGTGCAATAAAAATTAAATTTGTGTGGTAAATTTGAGGCATTCAATGTAATCATTAAAAAATATTTGTGGAATACTGTCGCCGGTATGTATTCCACAAATGGGCCAGCCTAGTCCAACATGTTTCCTTCCGAAGATTGAATATTTGCAACAATTTGTGTGTTAAATGTTGCTGCCAACCCACTTCGGGCGGTTGTTTGGGTGGGTCCGCAGGCAGTCGTGAAGGAAATTAGTGTTGTACTAGTGCGGGTTGCCAAATTGAGCGGTTGAAGTCCCTTGATGAAATCTATTTAATATCGTGTTCGTACTTCCGAACCGTTCTTAATTAATGTGTCTTCCCGGTTACGTGTGATGAAATGAATGTAAGCTTTAAAGAAATCGAGTTCTGAGGAGCCCTGTTGGGCCCAGTATTGCCGCTGGCAGTTGAACCGACACTTCGTCAATTGTGTGTTAGCCAGGTGGCCGTTATGGGAATTCTGTTAAAAAAGTTGTCACATCGGGCTACCATGTTCGAAGTGCGTAAATAATTAAAACATTAATTTATTAAAACAAGTGGACATTGATTGTGCCAACATGTAATTCTTCGATTATCATACCTGTATTGCCGAAATAAGTTCCCGATATCATATCACAGGTACGAATTTGTTTTATTTCTCATGATCTGCACAATAAAAGTGTCACCGATTTTTTTATCCACTATTAAAAATCCATGCCATGACAATTATGACGATGAAATATACACATCTTATAGGCTATGGACGTTTTAAAGAATATTTTTCCAGGGCCAATATAAGGAGTGGATTTTTTTAAGGAATATTTTTTCAAGGGCCAATATAATTCGTGAATTTTTTAAAGTAGACTTTTTCAAGGCCTATATAAGGCGTGGATTTTTTAAAGTAGACTTTTTCAAGGCCTATATAAGGCGTGGATTTTTTAAAGTAGACTTTTTCAAGGCCTATATAAGGCGTGGATTTTTTAAAGTAGACTTTTTCAAGGCCTATATAAGGCGTCGATTTTTTAAAGTAGACTTTTTCAAGGCCTATATAAGGCGTGGATTTTTTAAAGTAGACTTTTTCAAGGCCTATATAAGGCGTGGATTTTTTAAAGTAGACTTTTTCAAGGCCTATATAAGGCGTGGATTTTTTAAAGTAGACTTTTTCAAGGCCTATATAAGGCGTGGATTTTTTAAAGTAGACTTTTTCAAGGCCTATATAAGGCGTCGATTTTTTAAAGTAGACTTTTTCAAGGCCTATATAAGGCGTGGATTTTTTAAAGTAGACTTTTTCAAGGCCTATATAAGGCGTGGATTTTTTAAAGTAGACTTTTTCAAGGCCTATATAAGGCGTGGATTTTTTAAAGTAGACTTTTTCAAGGCCTATATAAGGCGTGGATTTTTTAAAGTAGACTTTTTCAAGGCCTATATAAGGCGTGGATTTTTTAAAGTAGACTTTTTCAAGGCCTATATAAGGAGTGGATTTTTTAAAGTAGACTTTTTCAAGGCCTATATAAGGCGTGGATTTTTTAAAGTAGACTTTTTCAAGGCCTATATAAGGCGTGGATTTTTTAAAGTAGACTTTTTCAAGGCCTATATAAGGTGTGGATTTTTTAAAGTAGACTTTTTCAAGGCCTATATAAGGCGTGGATTTTTTAAAGTAGACTTTTTCAAGGCCTATATAAGGCGTGGATTTTTTTTTAAAGTAGACTTTTTCAAGGCCTATATAAGGCGTGGATTTTTTAAAGTAGACTTTTTCAAGGCCTATATAAGGCGTGGATTTTTTAAAGTAGACTTTTTCAAGGCCTATATAAGGCGTGGATTTTTTAAAGTAGACTTTTTCAAGGTGTGTATATGGCGTGGATTTTTTAAAGTAAACTTTTTCAAGGGGTGTATAAGGCGTGGATTTTTTAAAGTAAACTTTTTCAAAGGGGTGTATAAGGCGTGGATTTTTTAAAGTAAACTTTTTCAAGGGGTGTATAAGGCGTGGATTTTTTAAAGTAAACTTTTTCAAGGGGTGTATAAGGCGTGGATTTTTTAAAGTAAACTTTTTCAAGGGGTGTATAAGGCGTGGATTTTTTAAAGTAAACTTTTTCAAGGGGTGTATAAGGCGTGGATTTTTTAAAGTAAACTTTTTCAAGGGGTGTATAAGGCGTGGATTTTTTAAAGTAAACTTTTTCAAGGCCTATATAAGTCGTGGATTTTTTAAAGTAGACTTTTTCAAGGGGTATATAAGGCGTGGATTTTTTAAAGTAAACTTTTTCAATGGCCAATATAAGGCGTGGATTTTTTAAAGTAAACTTTTTCAAGGGGTGTATAAGGCGTGGATTTTTTAAAGTAAACTTTTTCAAGGGGTGTATAAGGCGTGGATTTTTTAAAGTAAACTTTTTCAAGGGGTGTATAAGGCGTGGATTTTTTAAAGTAAACTTTTTCAAGGGGTGTATAAGGCGTGGATTTTTTAAAGTAAACTTTTTCAAGGGGTGTATAAGGCGTGGATTTTTTAAAGTAAACTTTTTCAAGGGGTGTATAAGGCGTGGATTTTTTAAAGTAAACTTTTTCAAGGCCTATATAAGTCGTGGATTTTTTAAAGTAGACTTTTTCAAGGGGTATATAAGGCGTGGATTTTTTAAAGTAAACTTTTTCAATGGCCAATATAAGGCGTGGATTTTTTAAAGTAAACTTTTTCAAGGGGTGTATAAGGCGTGGATTTTTTAAAGTAAACTTTTTCAAGGGGTATAAAGTAAACTTTTTCAAGGGGTATATAAGGCGTGGATTTTTTAAAGTAAACTTTTTCAAGGGGTGTATAAGGCGTGGATTTTTTAAAGTAAACTTTTTCAAGGGGTGTATAAGGCGTGGATTTTTTAAAGTAAACTTTTTCAAGGGGTGTATAAGGCGTGGATTTTTTAAAGTAAACTTTTTCAAGGGGTGTATAAGGCGTGGATTTTTTAAAGTAAACTTTAAACTATATAAGACGTGGATTTTTTAAAGTAAACTTTAAACTATATAAGACGTGGATTTTTTAAAGTAAACTTTAAACTATATAAGACGTGGATTTTTTAAAGTAAACTTTTTCAAGGGGTGTATAAGGCGTGGATTTTTTAAAGTAAACTTTTTCATGACCTATATAAGAAGGGGCTTTCAATCTTTTTCACGAAATAAATTGCAAACATTTTTTATTCGGGTTTTAATGTATTTTCTTTTTTCCACTAAACAAATTTTTAATACTAAAATTTAGAACAATATAACAAAAAAATTTAATAAATAAAAAATTTAGTTGATCAGTTCAAAATACTGAATTTTTGTTGAACAATAATTCACATAAAACCCCATTATTGTCATATTTTTTATGAATGTGTAAAATTTCTATTTTTAATATCATTATTATGATTGCAGTTAACAAAAACAAAATCATAGCCGAAAATATAATCTAAGTACATACAATATACGATACATAAATATAAAATTCAATTTTCTTAATAATATAGATTTGTTTTGTTGTGTGTGTCTAACCACTTAGCATTCCTCATAGGCTGCCGTAAAGCTATTTGTATAATTAATTAGAATAAAAATAAGAATGGAACCAATGAAGGAACCAAGTTGGGTTAAACCCCCAGTCCATACCAAGGATTTACCGCCCTGAGAACGCATAACCGTTGTTATGCTTAATTTAATGTAACTGACCAGGCCAATTAGCAATGTCCATGCAATGATCTGAGAGAAAAAGAAAAAATATATTTTTTATTAACCCAATATAAAAATTAAAATATTTATTTGTTTACTTACCACTAAAACTGATCCTGCAGTGGTACCATGCAATGGTGGATAGGGACTCATGGCTGCCGTAACAAACACATAAATCGTAAGTAAACTGGCCAACCCGGTCAGTGAGAGGATACTACGTAGAGATGTGTGAGGCAAGAATATGGCCAAAAAGCAAGCCAAGGGATTTGCTATAACACTTAAAGTGGCCGAAAGGTGATAAGCCTGACCACCATATGGCAAACAGGAATACGATTGTATGCTATTGAATATGCCATTGGCAAAAAAGCTAATGATGCCAATTAGCAATAACAGGAATACATAGACCCTTGAGGATATTTCCGGTGCCAATTCTTCCACCACTGTATTTTGATTATTGTCCACACCATTTGTCGCAGCTGCTGCTGTCGTTGTTGCCCCCGACGATTTATTGTCATTCGCCTCGACTGTAGAGGTAGTTGCTTTTGTTTCTCTCTCATACACATAATCATTGCCCTGACCCACTTTAACTGCGGCATATTGTGTTCTAGATAATTTCAAACGATCTAGCAGCGTAAATCCGGCACAACTCAACAGCATCATAGCGAAGACGAAAATAAAGAAATCCTGAGTTCCGAAACGTGGTGGCGGTACATATTTCTCATATATCGGTTCGCCACTTTCAGTCTGATTTACCAATATGCATTCAGCCGAACCACCAATACCCTGAATTAATGCCACCACACTTGGCAATAGACCACTAAGGCCCTCTCCCACAAAATACGTAATCAAATAGATTTCTCGAAATCTACCCATATAGGGCATAAATAACACCGAACTGGTACATGCAGTAAAGGCAGTGAAGACGGTCAATGCAAACAAGGCAACACTGTGCTCTCCACCGAACACCACAGCAGTTTTATTATAGAAAAATGCTGTTAAAATTGCCGATAATGTGCCCGTGGCCAAGAGTAAATATATCATAGGAGCGTCATTACGTTTACAAAACTTCTGGATAAGAGTATAAGTCAATGGGCCCAGATTACCAATTTGTACCATTACACTTAAATAGGAGGGTAAACTCCAACCTTCTGGAGCCACTTCCACCAGCAGAGGCAATTGTATAAATGTACCATTAATGCCAATCCATGTTCCAATGCCAAAAAATATTGCCAATATATCCACAATAATACTTCGATTCTGGAATATTTTCGCTACCCCCATTGTTATTGTCATCTTGCGGCTAGCTCTGCTGCTGGGCTTATCTCTTCGCTGTAACAATGAACTTTCCTCCGATGGTTCCAATGGCCTAGAATTATAGTAAACATAAATAGAAATTAATAAGTTATTCTTTTTTATTTGAAAACAAAATATTTACTCGTCATGTTTAAAAAATTGTATTATGGCTTGTAATGGTCTCATTGAGATTAGATGTTAGACTGATGCTCGCATTTAATGCCGCGACGAATTGTTTGCCTTTGTGTAACAACTAAATCATATCATGTTTAGATAAGACGCTTCAACAACAAATGGGCTCTTTTGCATATAAACCGTACCGTACATACGTACAAACGTAGGTTGTAAGGTGTCTTGTGCGAGAGATTGTGGCTGTTATTTGATATGTGATGCTAGAACTTTGTTGTATTTCAGAATAATCTACAATCATAAACAATGAATTCTACTTTTACACTTGTCAACAGAAATTATGGGGGTAAGCATGTTATAAGCGTTCCTTTCACAAATACCTTAACCAATCCTTGAAAATATGTCAAATCGGGAAGAACAAAACTTTAAGTAATCCTGGTTTATAATCTCGTGTTGTTGTAACAGGTTGGCTGTTGGTGAAAGTTATTTCCAGAAAATGTTGGCAGATGAAAGGGAATTCGGATTTGAAGACGGTAGACGGTCTATTGACCTATGGACAATATACATGTAAGCTCGGACGGACAATTGAATATATGGTGTGTGTCATGAGGGCCTTACTGGAAGAAGGGACATAAATATATTTAGGATTCCTGGGACAATGAGGTCTGGATACGAATTGAGAAAATTGATGAACCCCGAACCTCAGTTGTGCCAATCTAAGGTGTTTTCCTAGAAAAAGCCTCTCACTGTTTGTTGCATCGGTGACCATTTATGAATTCGCTATCGACGATCTATTGACGTCCGATGGAATGACGTCTTGGATGCCTTCACGATAGCGCCTGAAGTCCTGACGGATAAGTTGCGGAGGTGGATTTGCCATCACTTTGTGATAGTTGGGATGATACACAGCAGATAGCATCCCAGCAGGAACTGTCTAGTCAACAACACATTATGTTACTTGACTGACAGCATCCTGGTCTCCTCATGGAGGTGATCTATCTGGACACAATCGGTTGCAATTCGAAGTGCATTATTTTGAGTAGATTGCAACCATCATAATTAAGGATGTAACGACCGACCTTGTGGGTCGTAAGCAACTTTTCTTTATCTTTCCCTGAAGACACGGCTAAGTCGCGGAGGTGGATCAGCCATCACTTTGTGATGGTTGAGATGATACGGTCTATCTAGTCAACAATACATTATGTTACTTGACTGACAGCATCCTGGTCTCTTCATGGAGGTGATCGACCACCCCTAGGATTTTCGGATTATGGGCGGTAGGGATTCGTCTACCTTTGATGGAAATATCAAGTTATAAATTGACTTTTCGCAGTCAAGGAATGAAAACTGACAAATAGTGAATAATTTATTAGTCTGCTTGGAATGGTGTAATTTGTGATGTCGGTTATAATTTCGGAATGATCGACCGTATTGAAAACTTTGGACAGATTTAAGGCTGCCACAATGGTCCGTTCAGGGGGTCGTCTCTGATGGAGGTCATATGGAATCTTGGAAGTTATTTTATGCAAAGCCGTTGTTGTGCTACATATTTCCCTGAAATCGGAACAGAAGCAATAGGGACTCTAAAACCTTGGCCACTGATGAAAGAAGAAAAATCGGGCGTTAGGATTCCCCATTATTTGCCGTTTTATTTGGTTTTTGAATTGGAACATGGCATAATTGGAATAATACGGGCAACTTTCTAAATATTAGAAATTATTAACTGTTATATCGATAATTTTGGTCAGATAACAAAGCCCTATTGCACCAAGCTTTTTTAATATGAACATGGAAATGCCGTCTGGAACAAAGATTTTGAATTGTTTGAATTTGGAGATAATTGCCTCTACGTCACTGTATGTAAATGGTAGGGCTGCAAGTTTCGTTTTAGCTTCTTGCATCTCAAGATATCTGAATTGGCCTGAATTTTTTGCATCTAAATGCTGAATGTTATTGGAGGAATTAGCTGGGAGATTTTCGTTTATTTTGAAGTCAGATGGACACTTAATTATAGACCATATCAGATTGGAATATTTATTTGCAATTGTTAATAATGCCGAAGAAGGACTAATTTCAGCGCTTAGCTGCTGGATTCTGTCGTCAGCGGGGCTTTAGTCACGAAGTTAGTTGCTGAGCCAATTTGGTGGCCCTGGGTGGATAGTTTGGTCTCATTGATATAGCAACAGAAGCACCCAAGCGTGTACTTCATCGAAAAAATGGTGTGTGTGCAGTTCTCTTATCGTCTTTCTGACACAATGGGCTGAGGCGACAAATGTTCGCCGAATGAGACTCGTCTCATTTCGATGATTCGTAGATCCCTCTGCTTATGACTTGTATTTTCAAACCATACTGATCTACTTATTGTTTTATATGAGATCAATACTTGTTCATACTTCTCATCTTGTTGCAAATAGTAGTGGTAATTGGTGGTTCGTATTTGTTCTCCATCGAACATCAAATGCAGTGGGAACTCATTTAAGACGTCCAAGTGGTGAAGCTTAGATATAGCTTGATTGTAGAACTGTGTGATATACCTATTTCGGTCACTAAATGAATTCCAAAGCAATTTTTTTTGGAGTTCGGAAAACATTTAATGAATGCAAATGATAAATTTGCATTCATTATAAGCCATCAACAACATCACACTATCATGCCAACAAATTAGTCATGCAGGGCTTCAGTATTTGTGCAACAAATTGTATGCCAATAAATTTAATTGGACGCGCTGTTGCGAATGAGTAATTAGATCCCGTTATCGTGTGTAATTAGATTACAGATATTGTATGAATATCGTTGAAAAAATCTCTGGGTATACTCTTGCTGAATTTGCTTGCAGATTTTATTATTCTAAATGCTGGTTAATAAATGTTGAATTAACTTCACTATCCAAGAATTCGGAGCGCCAAATTATAATCTCTTCAATTGGAAAGTGCTGATAAAACATTATTAAATGGGCCGGCATCGTTATATTGCAGCTATTGGCAGATGAAGTTCTTCGCCGACCATAATATTGTCCCTTAAGTTGGATAATGCGCCTACGACCACCAAAAAGGGGATGGACCTTTATATTCCAAGTATATCTGGTAAACAGTGGACAGCACCACCATGCTCAATCAAAATATATATATATGGGACCGATGACATCCAACATTTTTATACCCACAGCCTTATGACTAATGAGGGTATATCGAAATATTGATTTTAGACTCCATGTTTTTTTGGACCAAATCCGTTTCAGAATATTTAGAGTCGAATTACTCATGTCCGTATGTCTGTCTTGCTGGTGCGCACGATAACTTTCGAAGGCAGCAACCTAGATCAAGTAGGAAGATGGGACCCATTGGTCCACTCCTTCAAGTACCTCCCCAAAAATGTTCAAAATTTTTTGTAATTCCAATATCAGGCGAATGGAATGTTTGATATAAACCAAACTTTGCACAACCCATTATCTTTACGAAGTCTAGATTAAGTCCGAAGATAGGACCCATTGGTCCACTCCTTCCGGTACCTTCCCCACAAATGGTCAAAATATTTCAATATTTACAAATGCAATATCAGGCGAATGGAATATCAGATTTCAACCAAACCTCTCACAACCTATTATCTTTGCATAGCCTAGATCAAGTTTGAAGATGAGACCCATTGGTCCTCACCTTCTGGTACACCTCCCCTAAAAATTAAATTTATAATAACATGTAAACGGACTACCCGATTTTGACGACACTTTGTACAACCTATTATCTTTACCACGCCTACATGAGGTAGGGAGATTGGTCCCATTGGTTCACACCTTCAGGTATCTCCCCCACAAATGGTCAAAATTTTAAATAGTTTTAATCCAATATAAGGCGAATGGAATGCCCGATATGAAATAATCTTTGTACAAAATATTATCTTTACGAAAACTAGATTAAGTCCGAAGATCGACCCCGTTGGTCCACTCCTTCTGGTACCTCCCCCACAAATGGTCAAAATATTTCAATATTTACAAATTCAATATCAGGCGAATGGAATATCTAATTTCAACTCCACCCTTCACAAAATATTATCTTTACGAAACCTATATCAAGTCCGAAAATGAGACCCAGTAGTAAACTCCTTCCGGTACCTCTTTACAAATGGTCAATATTTTATAAAATTTGAAACATCCGAAACATCTTCGATAAAAACATATATTTCTTATATAAATCTAATAATAAAATCTATGTGTATTTCCGAAGAGCTCCACAAACCATAGGCTGGGAGGTTTATATCTGTCTGAAAACCGATTGACACTTTTTTACTCGTTTAAAAGAAGATTTAACACACAAATATTAGCCAATTCGGTTAAAACATGCCCAAAATCCCAATATTGAAGAATTTTGGTATGGAAATTTACTACATTACAAACAATTTGATCGAAAACCAAAAAAATAATACCGAATATGTGGGCTATACCAAAACTATGGTCCGATCAATATTGTACGTCCTCATCATAGATGTCCAAAACTGCCGAAAAACCTACTTTAAAGAACTTTTTATACCCTACACAACTATGTTGTCAGGGTATTATAGCTTTGTGCATCCCCAAGATTTTGTAACGCCGCGAAATATTGGTCCTAGACCCACCTTTAAGTATACCGATCGTCATATCTCGACTAGCTGTGTCGATCTAGACATGTGTGTCCGTCCGTCCGTCTGTCCATTATAATTTGTAAACACGATACAGGCCACAGTTATGGACCAATCTTCACGAAATTTTGCATGTAGAATGGGTTCGGCCCAATGAAGACCCCTATTGTTCTTTGTAAAGATCAGTTAATATTTAGGGGATGAAATGGACCAAATATCGAATTTTTGTCGGTTTTTCTGGTCTCTCC